CCTTGCTTTTCAGACCGATGAGCTTTGTAAAAATCGACGCGTTTCAGAAAGGCGGGGCATAGAGGAGAAACAATAATGTACAGTATGTGGAAAAGAATGTGTTTTTTGAACCTTAAACCGCATAAACACATTTCATTACACCAAATACACAAAATAATGTTCTTTTTAGCAACATCATATGACCCCTTTAATATAACTCCGATTGGATTCATCTGAAAGAAGAAAGTCACATACACCTAGGATGCTTTGAGGGTGAGTAAAACACAGGCTAATTTTCATTTTTGGGTGAACTAACACTAAAGAACTTACACACTGGTGTGAATGAACTATTACAGAAACAAAAAATGATTTTGGTAATCATCAATACTGTTAGTTTAGGGCAGCTGTGGCACAAACCTTACATTGGTGATGGTGGTCTAATAAATTTGTTAAGCACTACATACATATATAGGTTGTTGTGTCTAATAAGATTGTTCACAAACATGATCCCTGCACGATCTAATCTAGCGTCTTAAGTCACTGTCATCCATTTGTCTGCAACACATTTTTTTCTTCCTCTTCATCTTTCGACCATTTTCTCCTCTCCTAAAGAAACTCTTAAGCCTCTAGTAAGACCTCCTCCCAACACTTTTTGACCTTAAGAGCTATTTTAAGGGTTAAGATACCTTGGGAATAACTTTTATCTTTCCTAGGATTATCTGTTTAATTGCCAGGGGAAATTTCTTAGAATTTTGTCACTAGGAGCAACTCTTTGCACTAAAAAAAATTCATGAATATGGGCCCTGATCTTAATGTAAGTCAAATGTGTGCAGAAATACACCAAATTTACAAATGTGGGTTAGGCATAAGTTAGGAGGTGATAAACAATGTGAAAATATTCCATAGAGAGAGCAGAGTATCATATAGATTTGTAGTTGTACTCTTTTGAAGTAGGCCAGTAAACAACCACTTAGCAACAACTCCGTACACCCTAGTAACTGCACAGCAACACACTAAAAACCACTCAGAATACTATAGCAACCACAAAATAACAAATGTAGTTTAAGTTCTGAAAAAAAAAAACTTAGAAATAGAATACACACACACACACACACATAATTATAGGAAGTATCTTAAATGGCCAGATCTTTGCTTGTTCTTCCTTCTCGTCTCACCCTGCAGTGAACTGGACGGAGCAGAACTTTCTCGACAAACGACTGCATAAGCTGCTGAAGGAAATCGAGTTCAAGGGTGTGTCCAAATGAGCCCGACATTTTCGGAAACCGCAGCAAATAAACAATCGCACCTTCAGAGAAGTGTTAAAACAACACCCACACACTCATATATACAGTGGGTACGGAAAGTATTCAGACCCCCTTAAATTTTTCACTCTTTGTTATAGGGGGTCTGAATACTTTCCGTACCCACTGTATATATATATATATATACGTATATATCCACACATGAGCCTCTGTATTCATGTGTGGACCCTCCTATTCACACTCAGTTGCTAATTGTCTCACTTTCTGTGTCGTTTATATCATGAGTCAAATGCAGTAACAGAAACTGACCCTGCAACAGCTGATGGAAAATATAAGATGCTATCTTGTAATGGGTGTGGGTAAAATACTAGAGAAAAGTGTTATTTGGCACTTGATAACTGAATAAAGCTCTCACTGTTAAGTTGTTCCTTATATCGTTCACTGCAGTTAATTTACTGTTGTTTTTTTATGTACTGTATACCTGGAAATTAGAGTGTCCAAGAACTAAGAAATTTATATTTCTGTTTTTTGACATATAAACAATATTATATCTTATATAATTTAATTTGAAGAAGAACCAGAACGTAAACATAACCAGGCCATGAAAAACCTTGACTTGTTACTAGCTACAGTATTTTGAACAATATATTTGATTTAGTCACAATTAGCTGTACTTAGTAGTTTACTCTCTAAAATTAAATCAAACTCATGACCTTGGTCATTGTTAATATAATTTGAAAAAAAAAAAAATATATATATATCAAGTTACATTAAATTTGTCTATAATTTTAGCTATATTTTCAGTTCTCCAAAAAACAAACAAAAAAAAAACATACCTTTTGAACTCCTAACCTAACCCTAACACACAGATCTGATCTTCACCAAATTGGCAAGCATTTTGCAAAATATTTTTGAAATATCAAAGCTTTGCAACTATAGAAGCTAGAAGAACGCTTCTTGAATGGTCAAGAAACTGCAACAGAAATTGATAATTCACAATTCCGACTGGTTAACTTGGTGAAAATGCTATCTTTCTTTAGGGGAAAAAAAAGGCAAACTTAATTAGAGAGGTATAAAAACACTAGTCACTATGATGTGCAACAGTTATAGTGAAAAGTGAGTCATTTTCTTGAACGTTTTGGGTCCATTTCATGT